TCATCTCAAGTCAGTTGGAGGCTGCGACGGAGTGCGAGTCGCAATCAGCTGCTGTGGGTTCGGCGACCACTGAGGAGGTCAGTCGGTGGTTGTGCATCAGTGGGAGAGAGCGTTCACTGTGACAGCAGTGCACGCTGTATCGGCGTCGTGCGATGAGAGCCGGGGGCGTCCGTCGTCGGCGGGTCGGCGGCGAGGTCGGCCTGGCGCTCCTTTCCGTCTCGGCGCCGAGGTCGAGCCGTCCTGCTGGGCAAAGGCGCGCAGGCCTTCTTGATGCGGGCCTCCTCGCCCTGGTGGCCATCTCGAGGAGCTGCGTGGCCTTGCTGCCGGGGCTGGCGCACAGTCGAGGACGGTCAGCCGGGGCGCAGGTCCAGACGAGCGGCGGGATCATGCTGACGACCTCCTGGCGCGAGATGTTGCCGATGCTCGTCTCGGAGACGAGGACTTTTGGAAGGCGGAGAAGGGGGCGAACTTTCGGACAATGTTCTTGGGCGTCGTCAGTCCCAGGCGAGCTCGTTCGGGTACCAGGGGATGGGCTTGGGCGGCTCGACGGTGCGGCCGTCTGCGTGCTCAATCTTGACAATCTCGGGCATGTACCTGTTGACGAGGAGGTCGCGAACGGCAATGGCGTGGCTGGGCTGTGTCAGCATTGTCTTTCTCGCCGAGCAGAGCAGAGCAGAGCAGAGCAGAGCAGAGCAGAGAGAGCGATGGAGCGCGTCAATTACCCCTTGGAGCCGGCAAAGCGGAAGCTGTTGGGCAGTTCCCTCTTCAGGGCATCCCAGAACTGTTCCCTCTCCTCGTCGGGCAGCTGGAGCAAGCCATCGTAGTAGGCCTGCAGCTTCTCGTGCTTCTTCTCGACCTGTGCGTAGGACTTCCAGCTCTCGGACCGGGGACCGCTGTGACGGCCCTGCTTGTTCTGGCGACGTCGGTCAGCAGGATGGAGGAGAAAGGGAGGGGAGCTGGCTCGTTCACGGCGGTAGAACATACGGCGTTTCTCCTCTTGCCACGACCCATTGCGACTGATGATGGAAGGAATCTGGCGCAAATTGGGCGAGATTGCCAACTGAACGGCTGTTGATTCTCGCTGTCGTGGGCGTCGAGGGGAATGGTGCGGCGGCGAGCCTGGGGATGAGCATGCAAAGGAAAGCTGTGTCGCACGCGCAGCAGGAGCTCTGGGATGAGGTTGGGAAATCGGCAGCCGCCAGAAAAAAAAAGTCCGTCTCCAAAGTCTCGGTCGCGACGGTTTCCCCCGCCATTGAGTTGGGTGGGGGCCATATATCTGTGAGGACGAGCGGGGTACTTACATGACGAGCCCCAAGGTGTCGACACAGGGCCTAGGCTGGGAGCAGACATGTACCTTTTTGAGCAGCAAAGATACCCCACGAGCAGTGACCGTTTTCTTTCGGCCCCCGTCTCGAATACGGAAGCCCGCCAAAACGGACATGTCACGGTTGAGCTGCTGCGGCACGGCGTACTGCCGGCCCTGGCTGACGACAAAGTCGGGCGACCCCAAGAAGTGCTCACGGGGGTCATAGTGTGTAGTCTGAATAAGCTCCATCTGCGGCGTCACCTCGACATCTCTCTAGGATACGATCAGAGTGTACGAAGAGAATAGACATGGCATGCCAGCTCGGCCACCGACCCGAACCCAGCTTCTTGCGGCCTACCTGCAACGGAGAAATTTGCAGAATCGCCAACGCGATCACACCAACTCGACATTGATCCACCCACCATGTGCTGTGAAGACCGATGATTTCTCGCTCCCTCGTCTGGATTCTAGACCAGAATGGGCTAACGGCTGATTCGAGCTGGCCTTCCTCTTCTCCCATGGTGGTGTGTGAGCAGTATGCCGCATTGCATTACCGAGCTGATAAGGCGACGTGATCCCTGGGCATTGAAAACCGAGTTAGTCCCAGCAGACCGGCGATGTGATATGCTTGGTTTGTGCACCCACAGATTTTTAAATCAACCAACGATATTGACTGATGCTGGGCCCTGCATGATATCTTTGCCGTCCTTGGGTTGGAGAAAGTGGGCGAAATTGCGGCTCAGCTTCACTTCGTAGCTTGCGCCAAAGTCGTTCCCCGATACTATGGCTGAGTCGTTCAATGCAAGCAGGGCCAGAGCCTTGCTTTGGGGTACATACATCCAACAGTCTGGCTTGGGGCTATTACTCAGTATTGCGATACGCTACCATGAAGACGTCCAGCTCAATTTACAGCACCAAAAGTCCGTCTTTGCGGTACGTACATGTCGCATGTCATTATTCTGCCACGAAAGGCCAGATATCTGAAGGGGGTGTTGCTGAGTTACGGCAAGCAACATCTTCTAACACACACAATCTGCACTCTATACAGCCCATCGAGTCACAACCTTGCCATGTACATGATTGACAAAGTCACCCTCGTCGAGATCATTTTGCCCCACGATCGTCAATTCAGCTGAAGCATATGAGCGCTTATCCTGCACCTGCACACATGCCTGAATGAGAAGCCTGCCCGAAAGCGCCACCAGCCTTGCCCACGCAGCTCAACAACCGTGGTCCTGCGCAGCCTGCTGCCATGTCAGCACTAACGGATCGTAAATTCGATGCTCTTTCATGCCAATTTCCGCCATTACCGGTCGTCGAAACATCCCCATCGCCTCCCACCCCGAACGCGTTCTTCATTCCTCGCAGTAACAACTATGAGCGCCGCAGAGCAAGGCATTACCGTGGATCATGTGCCACCTTGAGGATGCAGAGTTTTTGCTGCGCTGCGAGAGATGTTGTTCACCCGCCCTGCGGGCGCTGGCCACTATCAAAGACGTACGGCCTCACGGGTTTTCTTCTGACGCCTTTGTAGCCAACGGAGTTCTACGCGTGATTCCGCACCCTTACATTTGGTTTCCACTTCCATAGGTACTGGCGTTCCATGACGTTGCTCATCACATTACATACTACCTTTGCGACCCTGTGGTTCATTAGTGTGTATCCATACTATCTATTCATCATCGACCTGGTGTTGCTCAGCGCAAGCTCAATCCTGCAGATTTACGTTGCACGAACAGCACCGACATCAATCATTATGATCTGGTTACGCAACACCTTATTCGAAGTGAGTGATGACTGCATACAGCCGTATCCAGGGACTCTAGAGCACTGCTCACATCAAGCTGATACCTAGTCGGCATTCCTCCTACGGCTGGTAGCAAGGCTTGAAGATAGGGTGCCACGACTGTCGCCCTGGCGGATATACTGGACAGCATACTTCACATTTGCGAGTCCCAAAACAATTTTTGCGCTGAACTACTTGGAAACTTGGAGGCTCCAACATTCCCAGTATCGCATCTCTGTCTTCTTCGACCGATCGGACAACGTGCTTCTGCCCTGTCCGGCGTTTGATGCCCCGGAAGTGGACGACGCATGGGTCTTCAAGAATTTGTCAGTCTTTTATCGCATGTCGAGGATAAACGATGGGCTGTTACAGGCTTTGCTCCCCAAGTCACTCGAGAGGATCGAAGTCGTACAGGTACGTGCTGCACACCAATCGCCCTCTGAACGGTTGTCTTGGGCACAGTCAGATCTTGCCTGCATGAACAGAGCCGCAGAACATGAAGTAAAATCTGCGCCGGCGTGCACCTGAGAAGCGACGTCGGTTGACACTTCAAAGTCATCGTTCATGATAGCTGGCGGATGTGTGATCGGCATGTTCAGGTGAAGGATGGAGTCAGCATAGGACCCCATGTAGCGACGCTCGACGTGTCCCCCAACATCTGCCGGGCGATTGAAGACGGCGTGGTAGCTGGAATACCTGCTGGAAACAGAAGACACGTGGAACAATTGCTTCTACACCATGTGTTTCGTCCGACAATCTCGGACACTCCTCAGCAGGCTCTGAGGTTCGTCGTCGCGTGGGACGCGCATCCGGTTTCCTACGTTGTCGGTGTCCCTGCAGTTATAAGCATCGCCATTGCTGCGATTTGGCCCATGGTTGCGGTACTCAAGTTTGGCGCCGACGTTCAATCGAGCGTACAGACTGGCGCGGCGGTTGCAAGCTTCATCATCACGACAGGGGCACTCGTGATGGGCCTAGCAACTTTGTTGGACGCCCTTGCTAAGCAATGAACGCCCGGGATGGAGACAGCTGGGGTTTTCTTGGATAACAGGACTCGAGACTGGAGATACTTCATCTTGAACGTCAATGAGGTCCTCTGCTCAATGCAACTGCACGTTCGACTGAGTGCGTGTGGTTGATGGCACATGATCTTTGCACTGCCTTATGTTAGGCTGCCCTATGGCAGCCATCGTCGCGGGGTTCTGGCTTGTATGAACTGAAGCCAAACTAGGAAACCAGAATCGTAGAGACAAAACAGGAACGGCACTTGAAGCTCTAGCGGTCGTCGAAGTGAAGATGCTCTGATCAACATGCTTAGGTAATCTCAACCTCGACGCGTGTAACGCGTCTCCCAGGACATTCGGCGCTACGAATCCCCCACAGCGGCAAGGGGTCCCAGCTCCCTGGCAGAAATGTCATGTTGTGACCAAATGCCCATCTGCGCTCCACCATTATTGCTGCTCCAGATCGTCTGCAACGACATCGCAGGCCGTCGCCGACATTGACCATGAGCGACGACGCGCCTTCGAAGCCCGCCAAGCGAGCCCGTTCGGGAACCAACGACGATGCTGCGCCTGCCATATCTACCAAACGACGAAAACTGAGCTCATCGACGACCTACAAGCGCACATCCCTCCACGATACCAATGGCAATCGCCCGAGCAAGACGGCTGAGGCTGACATCTACGACGTACCCGACTCTGACGGCGAGGCGCCGCCGCCGCCAGCACGAACTCGACTCCCCTCCGGGCCCCACCGAAGCGCAAAGAGGACTTCATTGCCTCGCAAAGACACCTACGAAGTGTCCGAGTCAGACAAGGGCGAGCAGAGCCCAGACGAAGACGAGAATAATGAAGATGCAGTTCCTCCGACGCCCACACGGCCCAGGACCACACCAGGCAAGACGCCCAGGTCAAACGGCACGGCTCGCAACGGCTCCGTATCCGCGAAGACCAGCGCCGGGAAGCCGCGAGCACTCAAGGAAGTCTCCGCAACCATCGAGAAGCCCGTCGAAGCGACGCCGGGAACGGGAGAGAAGATCGAGGAAACGATCCACGTTCGATCGAGCGGACGGCGCAGAATCCCCACGGCCAAAGTGCAGGACAACACGGCCAGCGCCCGCAAGCTCGCGGGGGCCGCCGCCGCGAGCCGGTCGCGATCGAACTCGGTGCTGAATACGACGCCCAGCGCGCAGAGGCACCACGAGCCTCTGAGGCGGGATGCGGCGGTGCCGCTGAAGGGTATCCTGACACCCTCGAAGCGTGCGGGGGATACGGGCAAACGCCGGAAGAGCGTTGCGTTTGGCGCTGCGCAAAGCCAGAAGGGCGAGCCGGTGTTCTTTGAGGATTTGCCAAATAAGTCGTCGGAGAAGAGGCCTCGTGGAAGGCCGCCCAAGTACCCAAAGGCTACCCCGAAGCCGGTCAAGTCGACACCTAGGCAAGCCGAACCTGTCCTGGAATCTGAAGAGGAGGTTGAGGATGAGGTCCAAGATGAGCCGGAAGAGAAGAAAGAGGAACCAGTGGCCGAGGTGGCAGAGGAGGAAGAGGAAGAAGAGAAGGAGCAGGAAGACACAGCCTGCTCGATATGCGACAAGCGCAACTCAAGGCCTCCGAACGAGATTATTTTCTGCGACGGCTGCGACAAAGCTGTCCATCAGAAATGCTACGACGTCCACGACATTCCGGAGGGCGACTGGTTCTGCAAAGAGTGCGTCGACAAGAAGCAGGCCAAGGCCGCGGCAGGCGCCCAGCTGCCCAACTATGAGCACCATCTTCGCTCGCTACAGAGGGTGCTGCTGGACCGATGCACGGGCCGGCGGCGTATCAAATTGATCAACCAGGACGAGGCGTATACGAAGGTCCATCAGCTCGTTGAGCAGACCGTCTCGGCTGGCGAGGGCAACTCCATGCTTGTGATTGGTGCGAGGGGCTGCGGAAAGACGACGGTAAGTTTGATGTTGTATTTTCATGCTTGCGATTCCGTCTGCTAACGACGTGAAGCTTGTGGAGAACATTATTGCCGAACTATCCTTCAGTCACAAGAGCGAGTTTCATGTCATCCGGCTCAATGGTTTCATTCACACAGATGATAAACTAGCTTTAAAGGAGATATGGCGTCAGTTGGGTAAAGAGATGGAGGTTGACGATGACATTAATGCGAAGGTAAATACATGAAGCTCCACCAAGAGAAATCATTATGATCATTAACCGGAGCAGTCAAACTACGCGGACACAATGGCGTCTCTGCTAGCTCTCCTCTCCCATCCGTCGGAGATCTCGCAGACAGAGGAGGGGGTCACTTCCAAGGCCGTCATCTTCATCATTGACGAGTTCGACATGTTTGCGTCTCACGCGCGTCAAACGCTACTGTACAACCTATTTGACATAGCGCAGGCGCGCAAGGCGCCCATCGCAGTGCTCGGCTGCACGACGCGGATGGACGTTGTGGAGATGCTGGAGAAGCGAGTGAAGAGCCGATTCAGCCACCGGCACGTATATCTGTCACTGCCAGCGAATCCGACGTCCTACTGGCAGGTCTGCAGGCAGGGACTGACGGTCGACGACGAGGATATGAAGGCAGAAGGCATTGATGAGGGTGTACAGGGACATGTTGAGTTCTACCGCAACTGGAACAACATGATCAAGGTACGTACCCGTAATCGGTTTTGATTGTGGCAACCAGCCCCTGACAAAAGCAGGATCTGCACGAGGAGAAAACATTCAAGGCGCTCCTCCAGTACCACTACTACACAACCAAGTCAGCAGCGGCGTTCCTCACGGAGTGCATCCTGCCGTTATCGTCCTTATCAGTAGACGAGATGGCCCTTGAGATTCCATCCGCGTCAGCCACAATGGTCCGGCTCGCGGCCCCCAACTCGAAGCTGCATCTACTGTCGGCGCTGTCAGACCTCGACCTCGGTCTGCTCATCGCGGCGGCACGGTTAGACATCGTGGCACACACGGACACGGTCAATTTCGCCATGGCATATGATGAGTACGGCTCGCTGATGGGCCGGCACCGGGTGCAGTCGGCAGGCGCGGGCATGATGGCGCTCGGAGGCGGCGTCCGTGTCTGGGGTCGTGGGGTTGCAGGCGTATCGTGGGAGCGGCTCGTCTCGTTAGGTTTGCTGTTGCCCGCAAGCCTGGGCGGCGGCAAAGCATCTGGAGGAGGGACGCACGGGGGCCTCGAGGGGCGGATGTGGAAGGTCGATGTTGCTCTGGAGGAAATTCCAGGCGGCGTGAAGCTCAGCCAGATGCTGGCAGGGTGGTGCAAGGCGATCTGATGCACGAACCACGATGTACAATCAAATTCCCGTGTACGACTCGAATACAAGTACCAACCAACCAACAGGATCGCCAAGACTGGGAGGCTCTGCGCCGCCCAGGTTACCGGAAAGCACTCTGCCGATGTTAGTTCGCTGACAGGAGGTCTGGAGGCTGGCTGTCAAGGCTGTGTGGGCTGTGCTTGTGCCGCTCGTGGAAAGCTGGCTGGGGGTTCAGAAAGCAAAGTGGGTATTCCTTGAGGCTGTTGCTATTTTCGGGGTCTTGTCGAGGCTGCGGCTTAATCTCGAATGCAAGATGACGCCGGTTTAGGCAATTCCCGATCTGGGCTCAATCGATGGGCTCTGCCTGCAGCTTGTCTAGGTATCATGGGCTCCTTGCTGGTCGTCTCTTCTTCTGTGTTCTTGTCGTTGCATTGTACAGTAAGAGGGAGGGCGGTTGGTCCTTCCCGCCGTCCTGATTGACCAGCACATGTTTCAGTTGTGCCTGCCATCCGAAGCGCTGACCTTGGCCCTCCTACCAATCCTCGTCTTTGTGGAGCAGTCACGCCCTCACGTCCCGCACGTCGTCATACCTCCATCCCTCCTGCCTGCTCACCCCAAGCCACTCAACCGTCTCAGCTGTAGTCAAACTCTCACCTCAGCTGCACTGCTCAGCCCCCACTCCTTTACAATACACACGAACTTTACCACCCCATCGCCTCAACCACCAGCGCTTTCTCTCCTTCTCGCCTTGTCGCACCCGCTTTCAGCTCTTCAGCTCTTCAGCTCAGCCATCTCACCTTGACCCTCACCTCCCTTACCTTACATAGGTACCTCACGACGCAATATTAAGCAGCCACCCAGCACGTCCTTCATCATGACCAAACGCACAACATTCACCACTATCACGCCGCTTCCCCCCGATCTTTCTCGCGACGCAGTGCTCGCCTTCCTCCACAATCACCTGGAGATGATTGATCTCAACCCTCTCATCAAGGAACGCCACCCAATCCCCCCGCCTCCGCACGCCTCCGCCGACGAGCAAGCCTGCGTCTGGTACTCTCTGACAGACGAGATATCCTATCTCCCCGGAATCCCAGCCGCCTCCTCCGCCGTTTCGTATACCTGCGCCTTCAACGACCTGCCCACCGGCCTGCAGACCCACTGCTACGCACCCATGGGCCTCGACATTCGCGACCGCTGGTCTGTCGCCGGCACCCTGCCGGGCGAGGCCCCGGAGAAGCGTGAGCTGGGACTCAACGCCCCCTCCCAGGGCCTCTACCTTCGCGAGGACGTCGACATGCGCTGCAATGTACTCATGACTGGCTTTGTCAAGAAGACTCTTAAGAAGAGTCATGGCCAGCTGGTCGACAAGCTCGCCGAGAAGGCCCGCGCCGTCGCCGCTGAAGACGCCGGTCATGTCGAGGGGCAGTACCAGCACCAGCAGCCGCAGCACCGTCAGCAAACATCATGGCAATCCCAGATGGGCGGCTACTCCAAGCCGGCATACAACCACCAGTCTACAGAGAGCCAGCACAGCGTCTCCTCGGTTCACTCGACGCCTCGACACAGGAAAACGCCGTCCCCGCCCACTCTCGACATTCCGTCCTACCTGAAGCCTCCGACGCCCCCCGAGACGACCGCCCCACCCTCTGTGGCAAGCTCGACGGCACACTCCACCCCCGGCACGGCGAATGACACGACCTCACCCAGCGCCTATCCTTCTCCCCTGCGCATCCGCCACCAGTCGCACGCCTCTGTCGGCCACGACCTCGGCCAGCTCTTTGACCGTGACGCAAAGGGCGATGTACCGTGGCAGTCATTGACTGCGCAAAACCACCAGCAGCCTGTTGAATTGGCGGGAACAGACCGTGAGTATCCCGCCAGCAACGCCTACTCGGACTTGGCATCGCGTACGCCCTGGGACGAGGCAACACCCAATGCCACGCCGACCGAGGCACAAGGGGCGGGCCCCGCGACCGCTCTGCACGGGCAGGCGTCGTGGGAGCACGCTCACCCGGCAGCGCTGCGACCCGGGGGGACGACGAGGAAGCCAGTGCCTGCGAATAAGGCATAGCTCGGATCACGAGGATGTCTGTCTGTGGGCAGTGGAAGATGTTGACATGCTTGTATGACAAATATACCCCTAGCGTTACTTGAGCTGTATGTAGTAGGCAATTTCTGGAAAGATAGCTGCAGTCCATGAGTGTCATGTGAGAAGAAAGCTTAAGTTCAGCCATCTTTCGGCTTGAGACAGTTCGATCATGAAATTGCTGGTCGTGTACAGAGTCGCCCGAGTTTCACCTTCGTTTGGAAGCTTCAGTTGCCTGTCGCGAGTGAGAAATGCTGAGGGAAGGAGAGACTGATGGGTTCGAGCTGTCAGCAAGTAGTCTCAGGCCTACAACCTCGCATCGATCATTGCGATCAGACCATGTGGTAGTTCGGATATGGTTGTCGTAATATGAGCAAGTCGGATGTAACGCGGGATCGAACCTTATCACACGATCAGATCAGTCACGACGCCGCAAGGAGTCACGTTCATGCAAGGTCACATTGGATCGCAGATAGAGGAACTCATGTTTCCGGGATACCGCGTGCGAAGTCAATTGCTGCCAAGTATCTAGCCAGGGGGGAAAAAAACAGAATAGCAAATGCAAAAAGGGTGGAAACAGAACCACCACTCGAATTACAGCAGGCCAGTCTCTTTTACCCCCTCCCCCTTCCCCCCTTGGCACACCCACCTTGGGGAGGGTGCTAAAAAGAGATGAAAAGGGAGAGGCACGAAGAGACGGACGTAGAATTGCAAGCACCGAAAAAGCCAGGACCCCAGGACCACAGACTCGTTACCAGGATGCAGGTGTTGAGACAAATGGAATGACCACTTCATCCTCCCGATGCTCCCCGCCGCCAGGACCTCTAACGGTCAGCGACGATGTGGGGCCGGGACCTCCAGTTAGTATAGATTGTGTTGTTGTGTGTATGTCGGGTGGGCGCATGTGTTTTTTCTGAGGGGAAGTGTTTGATCTCTTCTTCGTTTCGTTCTTGTTGAAAGAGAACAAAACACGCCCACACCCTCCCGCTCCCTTGTCCGTTGACCAGCTCTGTCCGGAGAGTGAACAGAACAAGAGTCGTCCCCGAAGAAAAGGATGAGCTTTACCAGCCGGCGGCGCCGAAGACGGTGGCAACGGCGGCGATGGCCATGCCGGCGCACAGCAGGCCCTGCTGAAGCGAGGCGGCGCCGTTGACCTCGACGTGGTCGCCGGTGGGGTAGGGGACGTGGGGGAGGGTGGCGCTGGCCTCGCAGGCAGGGCCGTAGCAGGCGGGCTTGTTGCCGTCGTTCTCGCAGTGGGGACCGTCGCAGACGGGCTTGTTGTTGTAGGGAGGGGGCTGGGGCTTGCCGCAGTCGGGGCCGTCGCAGACGGGCTTCTCAGGGACCTCGGGACCGTGGGGGGGAACGTTAGGGTAGACGGGCAGGCAGTCGCGGCCGTCGGGGTACTTGCCGCCGTGGCACTCGGCGGGGTACTCGGGGTGGATGGGCTCGCAAGGCTTGCCGTCGGGGTACAGAGCGTACTTGCACTCGGCAGGGTACTCCGGGTAGGCAGAGTGGCACTCACGGCCGTCGGCGTACTTGCCCTCGTGGCAGTCGGCAGGGTACACGGGGTACAGCGGGTGGCACTCACGGCCGTCGGGGTACTTGCTGTCGACGCAGCCGTCGGGGTAGCGGGGCTCGCCGTGGCAGGTGTTGCCGTCAGGGTACTTGCCGCCGTGGCACTGACCGGGGTACTTGCCGGGGCCAGCAGGGTACTCGGGGTGAACCGGCTTCATGTTGTCGTGGCAAGGCTTGCCGTCAGGGTAGTGGCCGTCGTGGCACTCTCCGTGAGGGTAGTGACCGTCGTGGCAGGGGCTGCCGTCAGGGTACTTGCCGCCGTGGCACTGCTCGTGGTGGCCGGGGTAGTGAGGGTGGACGGGCTTGACGTGACCGTGGCAGGGCTGGCCGTCGGGGTAGTGACCATCGTGGCACTCTCCGTGAGGGTAGTGACCGTCGTGGCAAGGCTTGCCGTCGGGGTAGTGGCCGTCGTGGCACTCTCCGTGGCCGCCGTGGCCGGGGTGCTCAGGAGTCCAGGGGTGAGGGGTGGGCTTTCCAGCGCACTCGGTGGTCTGTCATCATCATCATGTTAGTGAGGCTGCAGCGCGATCGTCAGGTCCAAGGGAGAGACATACGCGCGTCACAGTGCAGGGGCAGTCCGTGATTGTGAACCAGGTGGGGCCCTCGACGGTGTACACCTTCTCCTCCCAGGTGACATAGTTGGTAGGCTCAGGGCACCAGGTGGCGAGCTCGGAAACGACCTCGGTGACCGTGGTGGTCGTGACGGTGCCGTTGGTCTCCTGGCGGCGGGCAGGGATGTAGGCCGAGGCCATGCCGGCGGCGGCGAGGGTGCTGAGGACAGTGTTGGTGTACATTTTGACGAGTTGAGCGGGGGGGGACGTTGAAGAATAAGGCTGTTCTGTTGGGTGTTGGGTGAGAGGGCGGTTGCTGAGGGTCCAAGAGAATGACTGGGGCGGGTTGCAAAAGATCGAACAAAAATGCTAAAGAGCGACTGTCAAAAGAGTGACTGATTGCGAGATGAGGATGATGAGCCAGAAGAGAAAGCACAACATCGAGGATGGCTCAACATTTATGGACGAACGACGACAACCAAACTCTCACCAGTGTTGGCTCCGGAACACCTCCGACAACCATCTGCAGGGCTGGGCTGCCCAGATTCAGGCACAACAACACAGGAAGGGGAATCCATCAAGGGGCGCCGACCACAGCGGCGGGCCCTCGCAGAGACATCGTTTCGGCTGAATACCGAGCGGCCATTGAACGCATCGAACGCTTATTTGGCCGATGTTGGGGTGCAGGAATGGCGGGAGGGCCCGATCGAGTAGACCAGCATTCCAGAACACTGCGAAAAACAATCAGCTCGGTTCGTCTTGTGGCCTAACCTCCGCCATTGTCTCTGGTAACAGGGCATCCATGGGTTGGTGCTTCTCACCTTGTGTCCAATGGCTCTGGTATGGCTGGAACATCTCAAGCCAAGGGGCACGCCGCCGTCCTGCATACTACAAGCCTGCTGAAAATCCAGACATGTCATGGTCATGCTGGTAAATTGGCGAATGCCGTGCTCCTCTTCCATTCTCCCTAATGCTCTATCGAAAGGAAGGGCGGGGCCACAAAGTTATCTGATGTTGCTCTCCGCGCACGCGTGCGAGTGCATATGTACACATGGAACGCGAGACGCGTTCTGCAGTAAATTCCCTGTCTGCCTCAGTAACCATCCGTCCATCACATCGCCTGCCTTTGTGTGTTGTTCCAGACGAATCGAACCAGTATCGCACCATCCTATTCGTCGGCGACATTTGAAGTTTTTCCCCACATGTCGTTGAAAAGAGACAGGGCTGGCAGGTTAGGTATGGTGCGTGATAAGACTTTTGCTTCCCTCATTCATCGGCCGTCATTTGGTGGCCCTCGTTAATTCGTCCCGATGCGAGGAGAAGGGGAGCCTCCTCCCTTCCTATTCCCTGCCGGTCCTCCACCCAATGGAATCCAAGACAGAATGGAAAAGAGCGTACAATGTTGGAGAGTGGGAACGCCCTCGGGGAAAAAAAAAGTAGCATGCAGAGAATTTGGGGGAAAAGCAATGCTTCACCCACATCTCCGACCGATTCATGATGTGTCTAAGATGGTCAATCCCTCGAACGCCCCTCCCCGTTTCCAAGATACAAATCAGACCCAGATGACAGTGGAGATGGGACCGGTCCGGGGAAGCAGGCCGACGCTTGTGGATCGTGACCGCGATCCGTCGTGGGTATGCACGATATTAAGATAAGTGGCCCCCGTAACGCCGGGGCAGAGGCCGAGAAGCAATTATAGCCAATTGCGTCGAGCCGGCCCTCATGCAAAAGGTTTTCATGGGGTAAATGCGGGGAGTATGGGAACTCCTATTTTTGTCGCGAGCGTGAAATACAACAGAATATCGGGTATCGGTCGAGCATTTGTTTCATTTTGTTTGTTCTCATCATGGTCGGTTCGACCGACTCTGGCTTCGCTCCAAGCCGCCAGGGCGAACGTTGGTGAGGGAGTCAAAGTCGTAGTGCTTCAAGGTGTGCTCGTACTTTGGACTGCGAAGAAACTTTGGCACAGAATCCTGGGTTATATTGTTAGTACACGGCTCCGTTGCGATTAAAGAGGCGGTGAGACTCACACTAGCCATAAGCTTGAAGACGGCGTTCTGGGCGTCTTCAAACAGAGCCGTCACCTCTTGCAGCGTGTCTATCATGGCGACGTCTTGGCCAACAGCCTTCGTCATGCGAGTTGCCAGGTTGTTGCGCAGCTGATGGTCAATGTTCAGCTCGCAAGGGGACCCGGGGGCTAGGAAGGCGTTGTAGATGCCATAAGCTTGTGCCATGATTTCTTTAATCCCGTCCATAGAAGTAGAGTTCGGGTTCTTCTGAGCGGAACGGATGGCGACCTTGCAGCTCTTGACGAAGTCGTCGACGTCGAGGTAGAAGGACAGGTTTTCTTCACAATGAGTTTCCCTGAGGTTCTCGCGGAACAGCAAGCGGAGTGCGGCATCGTTAAGAATCTTGTCCAGCCTCTGCGTGTTTGAGTCGCGCGCGATCGCATTGCGGCTTGGGTTTGTACCTTCGCTTTCAGAAGCTCGCCCCCTAGAGCCCACATTGTTGATCAGGTCCTTGCCCTTGGCGGTGAGCTGGTAAATAGCATTCTTGGTGGGTTGGAAGACGTTGTGGCCGGCATACTGCGACATGTGTGCTCGGTCTTGCACGATTGCCTCCATCAGGTCAAACTGCACAAAGAGCGTTGCAATGTCCACAGCCTCCCTCCTGTCCACGGTGGTACAGCAGTCCATGAGCCAGTCCGTCGCACCCTTGCCTGTGAAGGTGTCGCGGTACGTCTTGCCATTGATCTTACGCTCGCTAGCCATCTTGACACCCGTGAGGCCATCCCGGTAGTCACTGAGCGAATCGGAATCTGCCGATGTGACGCTGGACTTGATGTTGGGACCGTGTGTGCCGACGAATCGACGGAAGACAACCTCGACAGTGCCACGGTCGGTAATGAGCTTGTCGGTTTGGCCATCACGCTCCAGGATAACGAGCTGCGAAAGGGTAGATCCGATAAGGTCGGATGTTTGCTTCTGCTGAATGCCGTTACGAGAGCAGAATCGATCAAGAATAGTGACGCCTTTTGGCGTAAGTTGCCAGACAGAGCCCTTCATGTTGTAGACCTGCTGGTATTTTCCGTCGGCGGATTCAATGAACCGTGCCTCGAGAAACCTTTGGCAGATAGAACGAGCCATGTCTTTAGCCATGGAGAAGGTTGTCGTCGTTGTCGTTGTTACGATGCGGGAGGGGTCTTCGAGTCCG